CTTATGTCTCATGTATTATGCATTATGCAAGAGTCTGTGCTCTTCGCTTTAAGCGGGGAGTTTCTTCGGGTTTTTCTTTCAGCTGGGGTTTAATTGCATAATTTGATAAAAGAAATGATAAAAGATCTAGCATTTACTCACTCTAATGCGCTTAAAATCGATGGCACAATAATTTATAAAATAGATGTTAAAAATTATTTAAAAAATTTATTTAGTTTTCTTTACGTACTAGAATATTGACTGTGTATCTTGAAACGTGTGGAAGTTACAGAACTGAATAAATTTATCATGTAAATTTATTAGGTTACTAATGAAATTATAAATATTCCAGTAAAGTTTTTTATTTTTGTAATTTTAATCTCATTTCAAAATACATAATTAAATCTTTCATTTTTCAAGATAATTTTGTTAAAAAAAAAAAGGTGTTAAACTAAACAATTCTTCTCGTTTGCATTATTTCGATACATAAGAAAAAATTTTTATTTGTTAATACTTTTAAAACATCTAATTTTAATTATATTAAAATTAGATATAATTATGTTAAAATTTAAAAGTAACACGAATATAAGTATTCAAATACAAAGCGGAAATTTCTAAACATGGCGGACCAATCAACGCGCGACTTTCTCATGTCGTGACTTTGTTAAATGCTTTTCAATGAAGTGCTTGTAAGTCTGCTTAACTCTATTACCTATGTCTATTGTTTGAAACTTCAAACATCTTTTTTTAACATAAATATTACTCGGTCTAATGATATTTTTGTAAAATAGTGAAAAATGTCTGAAACGAGATAATTGCGAAATTGTCAGTTTCTATTTCCGGTGTTAGATTTTTCTCCAAGTTTCATGTATATCTCATAATTTGCTACTATGAATGACGTGAATGATGTTATGACAAGCATATACGATACTTTGTTACACTTACGATATCCGCACATTACAAATACGGAGTCGAAAGATTTGGAGGCAACGATTCTTAGTGGTGAAAATCGGATTTGTTTACTTTCCTGGCTTCTGACAGAGAAATTACCATCAATTGTCGCTCATTTGGAAAAGCTGAAGAATTCTGCTTTGGAAGGTATTTCTACTTTATTTATACGATTTAATGTTTCACATATTACAATTTAATATTTAACAACTAAATTATATTATCAATTCCCATTTTCAGTGAATTTATACATGCAATAAAAAATTATATTAAAAAATGTGACATATTAATGTATTGGAAAGTATATATGTATGTCGTTTTGTAGATCAGGTGTTTGAATATTATTCTCGGATTGGAATCTGCAACAACAAGGATGTATTGCTGGTTTGTTTATAAAATATAGATATATTATGCTGTATAATTATATTAACATAATTGCTTTTATATAAAAAAATACTTATGTTAGGGTAAATGTTCCTTGAAGGAACAACTGCCAACTTTAAAATTATTGCTAGACTTTATGAGAAAGGTACATGTAGAATCTATTGCAAGTACAAATGAGACAGAAGGAGCACTTACAGATATTTTTAAGGTATGTAAAGATATAATGTTGAAAAATTATATTATTTTTATGAATATATTAATAATTACTGAAATATATATTTTTTAAACATTTTTAGTTGTGCACTAATGATATTGATCAGGCATCCCCTCTTTCTGCCATTAAACCAAAAATAACTTATGCAGAAGCTATTAAATATCTTGAAGAGAGCGAGAGAAAAATATTAAATAATGATCGCGAAGAAATTAAAATTAACGCGTCTGAAGACTTACACGTAGAGGTAAAACAGAATTATATTAATAAAATTATGAATAATATATATAAATTATACTCATATTTTATGTAAAAATTAATATAGACTGATGATAGACTGGATAACGAAAAACAGACTGCACTGTTTGACAAAGAAAAAGAAAGATTTATAGAAGCATTTCATACAGTTTCATCTTGGCCAGTGAAAGTTAGAAGTTTAGACAAAGATATTTCTGATTCTATTAGTTCAAACATTAAAAGTATATGTTCTGATTTTTCCTCTTTGAAAAAGGTACAAGTTTTATCCACATTACTGCATATTATTTTTACTATTTTTTCCAAAATGTATTTCCAATCGCACTTGCAGGTATTACAAGCAAAAGAAGAGTTGTCTAATGTAAAATTAGCAAAGGAATTACCGAAGACTGTCGCACCTTTAAATGCAATTATAGAAGATATAGTTATTTGTAATGAGGAACTTGCAAATCTAATAAATGAATGATTTTATATGTATAATCGTATATGTAAATCCATAATTGTTTAGTGTAATTTATAATATTCTAAATATTAATATACAAAAGAATAGAATTTATATCTATTTATATAAATAAGTCCTAAACGCATCATAGATATTAAAGAGATGGTATAGAGGAAGGTACTTTGATAATAAAATTAAAATAGAATTATTTAAATTTTTAACTTATGTATTTTATATTTGTCAAATACATTTCTGGCTGATAATTTAAGATCTAGGTCGTTCCTTCTTCTCTTTGTAAAGAGCAAGTAAAGAAACATTTGCAACCTTCACCACTTTAAATCGTACTCCAGGAATATCACCAACGGCGTGGCCTTTACGACCAAAACCTGCCACTAGAACTTCATCGTTCTCCTCAATGTTGTTAAGACAACCGTCTCTTGGCACAAACGCTGTAATCTTCTTTCCATTCTTAATCAGCTGTACCCTGACACACTTGCGAATGGCAGAGTTTGGCTGTTTTGCTTCTACTCCTCTATTGAATGATAAAATATCAATAAATTAAGTATCGTAATTATGTATATAAATATCATAATATCATTAAGTTACGACAAATCTCACACATGGAAATGTTATTAAAATTGTCATATAGGCATTATTACTTACACTTTTTCCAAGACAATGCCTTTAGCATGAGAAGCACCACCAAAAGGATTAGCCTTCCATCTGGTTCCCAAATGTGCTTTTTTATAGTCCTTATCATTCCATCGCTGTTCACGTCTGTGGTTCACGTGCTTACGCGCCGTACGAAGACCTCTTGGTTTACCTACAACGCAAAGAAAATCTTACAATGAGGTTATATTCTACATTATACTTTTTCGAGCACATAAAGAAAATTCTTTACATGGAAAAATATTAAATATCTATACGTTCAATATGAGATAAAATTATTATATGCCAATATTACGATACTATATGTGTATTGGCATATCTGACAATAATTACTACAAGTTTTCGATACTTAAAGCACACTACATGATCGCATCAAGAAGAAAGGTACTACTTGTGCATTTATTGTTGAGCAAAATATATCGACAGAATTTTTATCGAAAGATATTGGCTTTTCATAATCATTATTTTTAAACTAATAATTTTTAAAATAATAATAAGAAATTTGTAACACAAACCCATCGTGTCGCATGCGATTCACAACCGGAAAGAAGCAATCGTCCATGAGCAGAAATGCAAATCGTAATAGTAAATTTAGGTTGTATCGTATGTCTATATAGACTAGGGAATTTTACGGATTCCGACATTCCAAGATTGAAATCAAATTATTGTACAATATATATTGAAGATTGAGATCGAAACCAATCAAAACAATTGGTCTGTTTTCTGTTCCTACACTAGATTGTTCTAGAACTCGCTTTAAACAAATATCAAATGTATATCTATCTCACTTTAAGTTCCAAAAGTGTACACTAGTTCAGCTACAGAAAACAGGGGGTCGATTTTGTAATGTATTGTATTTTGTATTTTGAAATGAAGTGAAGTTATAAAAGTAAACAAATTCACTAAAATATTCATAATTTAATTAGTCAATACCTAATAATCATTGCTCACTTTTGTATAATAATTTTCACTTTATTTCAAAATACACAATCGAGCCTCAGACCTAATCAATAGATTCATTCGCATTGTTTGCACTTTTGGCACTCGATATCTTCGCTTTCTCTCTTTTTAAGATAAAATATGTATCTATCTCATTTTAAAAGCAAAAATATTTGGTTGGTGATTTCATGTAACGCGAACAGGAGATCAATTCTGTATTTTCAAACAAGATTAAAATTACAAAAGCGAGTAAATTTACTAGGTGTTGACCAATGAAATAATCAGTATTCTAGTAAATTCGCTCACTTTTATAATTTTCATCTCGGGGTCGATTCTGTATCTTCAAACAAAGTGAAAATTACAAAAGTGAGCAAATTTATTAGATGTTGACTAATGAAATTATTAGTATTCTAATAAATTCGCTCACTTTTGTAATTTTCACCTCGTTTCAAGATACAATAGAATCAATCCCCAGACCTAATGAGATTTGATCAATCAAAACAATAGAAATTAAAATTCTTTTATCCTCATTGATCAAATTTCAATTTTCAATCGTCAATCTCAAGGTACCTTCTCATGACGCTCGACGGCGCCCATTTTCAGCGTTAAAATCACGATCAAAATTGACGCTTGATATTTATCAATTGTTATCACGTGACTTATTTTAACGCTGAAAATGAGCGTCGAGTGTTAATATAAAAAGGCACTTTCAATCTTCAATGCTTAGTCTGATTCCAGCCTTATGGAAAGTGCACATCTCAGAATGCGTTCGAAGAAACGCCATTAAAAAAAATTACTATCATTCCATTTTAATCACTCGTTAGATGAAAAAGAACATGACATAGAGCATTGATAACGTCTTCCCAAACGTACTCCCAAGTTAGACATATCAGTAGGGTTTTTCTTTGAATTTAAATATTGACAATGAAAAAAAGTAGATATTTTACAAAATATTCTTTATTAAACATTTTATTATTAAAGTACTTTGAGCTTAACGAAAATACATTGGCATGTTTAAAATAAATTATTTATGTTAATTTATGTTTATACAAGAAAAAAATTATTTTTCTCTAATCTTTACTGATTTATCTACAGAGAGAACAAATTACATAATAAATGTAACATAATGTAATGTTACAAAAGTTACATATTTAATATGAATTGTTATATTTAAATAAATGTAACATTAATGAATTTTTTAAGGGTAACATAATTTAGGTAGCTTTAAAGAAATCTTCTGAACTGGTTGTATAAATATGTCCTTCGCAAAGAAGAAAGTCTAATATCTCATTTAAACGAGATATAATGTGTTTTGGTACTTGTGCCAAAATATCTCGTTTCTCGATACCACATTCAGCTTCATTTGCTGATCGAACTACCTCGAGAACTGCCACTTGTTCAGGTGACATGCCACTCATTGTATTATCAACCATTAATGAATTATTAGAAGGCAAACTGGTTTCTTGTGTGGGTTTGCTAGCCTTCAGTATGACATACATGACCTCCATAAAGTGACATGTCAAATCGTTCAAGTCCTCCAGAGGATACATACGTAAAATCAAGACATGTCGTTGATTATTTTGTGTACGTATCAGTCCATAAACTCGCA